AAAAAAAAAAGAAAGAAATGTTGCTTGGTGTGAAGTTGGTTTCTTGAATTACCTTTTCGAAGTCCTTTCTCCTCTATTCCTTCATCTCATCTAACAGGTTTGAAAAATTAAAACAATCCAGGCCAGGCGTAATGGCTCATGCCTGTAATCCCAGCACTTTGGGAGGCTGAGGCGGGTGGATCACTTGAGGCCAGGAGTTCAAGACCAGCCTGGCCAACATAGCAAAACCTTGTCTCCACTAAAAACACAAAAAAATTAGTTGGGTGTGGTGGCACATGCCTATAATCCCAGCTACTTTGGTGACTGAGCCACGAGAATCACTTGAACCCAGGAGGTGGAGGTTGCGTGAGCCAAGATCACACCACTGCACTCCAGCCTAGGCGACAGAGCGAGACTGTCCCCACCTCCAAAAGAAAAAGGAAAAATTATATTAATCCTTTCAGCTAGAGATTTTCTTTGGTGAGAGAACCCAGATTAGGAATTCAGAAAAATTAAGAAGAAAATCTAGGGGGCCAGCTCCTGTCCCTTATTCCTTCTCTATGCCTATTTGCAAAAAAGGAAAAATAAACAACTTGGGTTTGGGGATGATGGGGAGAAAACAGGAAGGGAGGGAAATAGTATTTCTGAAACAATAACAATAAACTGATTTTTGAGCGCTACTTGATAAGACTAATAGGATTTTTGTTTTGTTTTTGTCTTTACTAGTAGGACCTTATAACCCAATCTTGCACAGGTGCTTTGCATCTTCAAATGATGCGGCATCTGTGTCTGGGGTTTTTGAAAGTATTTCTATGGTGGGAAAAAGGGTATGTACATATTTGAGGAGGACAGGGTCTGAGGAACTCTTGAGAGCCCTGAATTTTCTCTTGAAAACAGAGCTTGCACTTATTTACCCTGTTCTTGATCTCCTGAAGCATTTCTTGGTTTCCTTCATTTCCTAAGTTGAGTATCTTCATTGTCTGGTACATTTCTCTGAAAGATAAGAAGGACTTCTTAGATTATTCTACCCTGCCCTTTAAAGAAGTATGGGGATAGAAAATATAGGACTTGGAATCAGTTAAGAATCCCAAGTTCCAATCCTAACTGTGCAGTTTTCTGAGCCTTATATGCAAAAATGGTGTAATGCTTAGCTTATAGGAATACTATACAGTTTTTGAGACAATATACTTGTGGGTTTTTTTGTTTGTTTTTTGTTTTTCCGAGATGGAGTCTTGCTCTGTTGCTCAGAGCTGGAGTGCAATGGCGTGATCTCGGCTCACTGCAACCTCTGCCTCCCAGGTTCAAGCGATTCTCCTGCCTCAGCCTCCTGAGTAGCTGGGATTATAGGTGTGCACCACCATGCCCAGCTAATTTTTATATTTTTAGTAGAGATGGGGTTTTACCATGTTGACCAGGCTGGTCTAGAACTCCTGACCTTAGGTGATCCACCCACCTTGGCCTCCCAAAGTGTTGGGGCTATAGGCGTGAGCCACCGCACCTTGCCATGCCTGTCTAATTTTTGTATTTTTAGTAGAGACGGGTTTTGCAATGTTGGCCAGGCTGGTCTCAAACTCCTGACCTCAGGTGATCCATCTGCCTCGGCCTCCCAAAGTGTTGGGATTACAGATGTGAGCAACTGCATCTGGCCAAGACAATATATTTGAAGGTGCCAATAGGTAGCATTTACTGAACACCTTTATGACAGGCGCTAAACATGTCATCTCATTACTTGTCACCACAACTCTATAACGTAGACTATCACTTGCATTTGATAGATTGAAAAAAATGGGCTCATAGAGTTTAAATACCTTACACAGGCTCACATAGCTCTTGCATGCCAGAGCTGGAATTCAAACCCTGGTCTTTTTCACTCTAAAACTTGTTGTCCCAATAGGCACTTGATAAATGTTAGTTGAATGTATGAATAACTTAAAACCATCCTGGTGGGGAGAAAAGATGCATGAACTACGTAAGTTTGACTTTCAATCTAATTTAGGCCAGTTTTTCTGTTACCTACGTGGGTGAGTGGTGAATGTGCAGGTGAGACTGTGCTTTTACTGCCATTAGG